TCCCTCCTTCCTTCCTTCCTTCCTTCCTTCCTTCCTTCCTTCCTTCCTTCCTTCCTTCCTTTCTTTTTTCTTCTTTCTCTGCCATGGACCGACCCAACCAGGGTCCCACAACCGCGGGGAAATCAGAGGTTTGGATATTAGGTAGACACAGGTTAGGCAGATTTGACAGACAGATGCACACACCAGAGAGTGTTTGAATCTGCTGCGATTTACTGACGTCAAGCTAACACTTATATAGTGATTACATAAAGAAGCACCTTGAAGTTGACATACTTCCTGGAACATTCAGACTTTTACCAACAATACAAAGTTTACATTTTAACTGAAAGGGCAACCTGATATAAAGCAGTTTCTACAAAAAATCTTGGCCTACAAGCTTTTAATCAAAGCAAATACAAAACTTTAAATTTAAATGCAGTTTTATTGTTACTAATTAGTGAGAAGACCAGGGGCTGTCATTGCCCTCCAAGCCAAATCGGCTAAAGATTTACAACCCTCCCTAGAGATAAGCATTTAGGGGAATTCCTCCTGTTTGTCTTGCTAAGGATTTACAATCTTCCTTTAGAGATAGGATGCTTGAGCTAAAACTCATAGTATAATATAAAACCTTCTGACCTCCTATGTTTGCCTATCTTCTTTCTGCCTCATCATAAACACCTGTATTTGGTAATGGTTTTGTAGTAGTTTTACTGCAGTGGGAATATCCAGAGCATTCCTCTTGACAGATCCTGATTAAATATTTTCTTTAGAAAGACCTAAAACTCTTGCCCCTTTATTACCTACAATGTTTGGTTTTTCCACAAGCAATTCCTGATACTGAATCTGATTTATTATCTCTCCTAAAATTTTATTTTCCTTCCACTCTTTTTTGCTAAAGCTTTTAGTAATCTATCAGAAATGTGTTTCCTTGAATAGTTAATTGTGCTGTTCTGAGAATCATAGAGAAACAGCAAAAAAGCTGATCAATTCAACCCTGCAATCGAGAAAGCATGGGACTCTCAGAATACGTCTTTTTGGTTTAGGGTGGCCAGGGGGAACACATTGCCAGTGACCTCCAGGAAGCCTATTCCCAAGGGAAACGTATCTCCCATCTAGTAGAACAATCTATTGATATGCTACACTGACGATGCTGGAGAGGGTGTACCATTTCTCTCTCTCTCTCTCAAAACACACTTAAAAGTGTATAACTTAATTTTTAAAATTTATTTATTTTATTTTATGTGCATTGTTTTGTCTGTATGTTTGTATGAGGGTGTCTGTCTAGAACTGAAGTTCTAGACAGCTGCGGGTTGTCACGTGGGTGCTGGGAATTGAACCCAAGTCCTTTAGAAGAACAGCCAGAGCTCTTAACTACTGATCCACCTCTCCAGCCTGACAAAGTGCTTTTCTGTGTGTGGTTAAGTGATTATGTCATTTGAATTTCTCGTCTTGGACTATGTGGTATAGGTATTCATTGAACTGTAAAACAGGACACAAAGAATATCAGTGAAAGTGGGAAATATGGCAGCAGGTCTGGAGAGCACAGGTAGACTTCAGAATCAACAGGCTCAGGTTTCTACAGTCTTGTTCCTTTTTAACTCTTGTAGCTTTCCACGGGTCTCTCATCACAAGGAGTTCCTTGTCAGAATATCCAGATGTTGAGGGTTGCTTTAGGCAATACTGGTCTACCCCTGCTGCCTAGCGTAACTGTCAATGGCACTGTCTTTCGTTGTGAAATGATCCCAGTTCAGAGGGATCAGCTATGTGGCTAGTCTGCCCGTGAGCAGCTTATGAGAGGAGAGAGTGTTCACAGATTTCTGTACAGTGTTTTGGTGTCAGCTGGAAACACACAGACAGGGAACTGCACTCACTTAAATGGTGTGTCTTGTGGTCTATTTTGTGTGACAAGGGAGATGATCTGAGATTCAGGATTATATTGACCAGACTTGTCTTCTGGTTGGGAATTTGGAAATTGAAAGAAAAGTGGTGAGGTGAGTCTGTGAATAGGCCTGTCAAGATGGAGTAGAGTCTGGACATCTGTTTCTCATTTAAATGCCTAGTAGAGAGAAAAGATGAAACTCAATAATTAAGATGGCATGTTTTTCAAGTGATGTTTAACCTTTTTCCATGGGTATTCTGTTGTTTGCACCATGTCAATGTTTGAAATGACTATGTGGAAAGAATAAGGACACTGAAGTGCTCAACAGCATATTTTTCATCACCAATATTGATTTCGATATTACCACTATTAAGCACCCCACACACTGATTGTAGAGGTCAGCTTTGAACCCATGACCTAATATTTACCGTATATATGGTCTCCCAAGGGCTATAAATGACAAAGAAGGAGCAGAAGGGCTATGTGTCCAGTGTGGATGTAAAAGCAACAATCCATCAGATAATCGTAGCCATCCATCTTCTGGCTGTTACTGCTGCTTCTTTCAATCAAATGGGTCAGTTGGAAAAGAAGAAAACGAGGTGGGTCAATAATTCACCTGCGTGTTTAGCTCCTTCCTGACATTAACCCTGTGATGTAGGTAACGACACTATTACCGGAATCAAGAACATCTAATATTTCATGAATCTAATTTCATGTTTCATGTCAAGAATGTGATTCAGATATAATTATGTCTTTTTATGCTTTCTTTATTGTCTCCAATGTTAAGGTTATGTCTCAGTGAGTGTCTTCTGTGAGCCACCATGGAAGTCATTCTCCATCCCTTGTACCTTTACCAGTCACTGAGAAGGTAAACTTCATTTTTATTTTATGCTTCTTTCCCACCCTAGTCTCTGAAGCTTGGGAGAGCAGAGCCCTGCCTGAAGTGGGAGCGGAAGTAAATAGTTGCAACAGGCCCCTTAAACATTTCTGATGTGTTGTAATCTGGAAAACATCTCAGGCACCGATTTCTCTGACCATATCCTTAACCGTTCATCTGGGGATGGGGTAGAGTCTAAAACCTGGGCTGGGAACCGGATTCACTGTTGCTAATTTGGGCAGACTACTCCGATGGATACACAGCTAGCCCTGGTTATCAGCCCGTGTTGTTTTCTGTATCCCACTTCCCCACGGTATCTCTTTTCTACACGACTCTTGTGTTTTCTGCTCTTGGAGGCACCATTCTGAAAACCGTTATGTTACTTTATATTACTTTATATAAGGAGACACATCTGCTCCTTCATTGCTCCTCCCATATCACTTCGGTTGCACTAGAAGCCTTACTCTCTCTAATTTAAAAAATAGCATTTTTTTGTGTGTGCGTACTTATGTATGTGTGTGTGCACGCACATACATGTGCACATTCGCCATGGTACACACGTGGAAGTCAACTTTTGGAAAAGAACTTTTTGGAGTCAGTTCTCTTCATCCACTGTTTGGGTTCCTGGGGATGAAACCCAATGTTAAGTGTCTTTGCTTGCTGAGCCATCAGCTGACCCTCAGAAGCATCTTCTCCACAGCACCAGGGCTTGGTCTTCTCATGTCTGAGCATATTTTTATTTTTTGCAGCATTGTGAGATAATATATGCACAGCAATGGAGCTTGCCGTAGACTGGCTGTTTTGTTATTATTGTGATATCAGCCAGTTGTGTCCATTCTAATCTTTGAAGGGTGGAACCATAAACCTGATGCCTTGCATGGTGCTTACGACTTAGGTAGACCTTCAGAGAACTTTGGATAAAATAAATTAAATAAGTTAATGAGTAGCAAACAAGGGGTGAGTATGCTTTTCTTAGCTATTTAAATACATATGAATAATAAGCATATAATTCCTGACATTTTCAGTGAGAAAAAAATCCTTTATTTAAAATAGGCCAATTGCCTTTTCTTTTCCTAGATTAAATAAAATATTCTACAAATAAGAATGTTTAAATCCAATATATGAAATTCAGTAATAGCAGTCAGGGTTCACCACCAATCACCATTTAATAAGGCTTAAATGAAATTCTTTAGAATTCTGAAACTAAGTGCTTTGGCTTAGGGAAAGAAGCAGTGTCACATTTCCTGGGTATAATGATGTCATGCTAGTAAGAGAAATTCTATAATGCCTAAGACAGCTAAATGCTAGACCATGAAGTGCTGAGCCTCAGACTTGCTCTGATAACATTAATAGTATTTCTAAATCACGAAGACAGTTGATGCGTTTTATTTCAGTAAGAATGGAAGCAAGAAGGGACCTATGCTATTTCTAGCCACTTGTATTTATTAATACATGCTTAGCGCTCTTAATACCTTCACCGTGGAAGGGTAGTGTTTCAGCAACAAGGTACGCTATGGGGACAGAGCTGGAAAGCTTGTGCACACACAAAGTAGCTGCTATCTCAAGGTTGTCAGGGCTCCTGGAAACGCCATGCGTTGTGCGCCTGGGGCTGGTGCGCTTTGTTTCCAGGCATGAGTGGCTGCTGAGTGTCTGGGGACATGGTGCTATCCATGGTGGCTTCTCCAACACCCAGGGGTGTGGTCACGTCAGCAGCGTAGGTTTCATAAACTTCTGCTAGTTCAGGAGTGATGAGTGGGTCAGCAGCTGCAGGGGTGACTCCGAGGAGCCTCTGCCTTTGCCCTGCAGGACCCCTTGCCATGCTGGGGATGTGGTCATTGGGGAAAGCGAGAAGTCCTGCATGGGCACCGGGTGCTATTTGTGAAAGAAGGGCTGGGTTTTCCCGCTTGGCTGGGTTGGCTTCTTGCAGAGGAGAGCCTTCTGGACCCTCTCCCTTCTCAGGGCCTTTGGTTACAGACACTGGAGAGTCTACTTCCACAGTGAAGTCTCCGCCCTTGGGTGAATTCTGATTCAGTCCCCTAAGGGTTTGCCTGAAGCCTCCAAATCCTGGGAACATACTTCCATAGGCCATGGGACTTCCTCTTTCTCCCTGGAAAATAAACATCCATCAATGACACAACTGTGTAATTATTCATTCCATGCAACTGTACCTGGTTATGTTCCCTGAGAAGCTATAAACACTAACAGAACAGGGAGTCTGCTGACTGCTCTGTGAAAGCACACTTCTTACAGAATCAGCTTTGAATTAGAGGGGAGAGGATCCTGCACTGATCTGGGTAGAGAAAGGCCATTTGCAGGAAAGGCAGGTAGGTATCTACCACTACTAAGAAAACAGCAAGCTGTTAAGAAGGGTGCCGTAAAACAAACTTTGGGGTCCATAACTGTCTTGATTGAGGAGGAATGCTCTGGGGATCTTGCCATGACATTTTTCAGTATCCCTCAAATACAGCTCTATATGTGAGTTTAACCCTTCCATTCTCCTCTCTTCTTTTCTCTCTCTCCTTCCTCATCCCCTCCTAGTTTTCCTTTCCCCTTCCCCTTCTCTTCTCTCTCATACCCTTTCCTTTCCCCTTTCCCCTTTTCCCTTCCCTTCCCTTTCCTTTCCTTTCCTTTTCTTTCCTTTCCTTTCCTTTCCTTTCCTTTCCTTTCCTTTCCTTTCCTTTCCTTTCCTTTCCTTTCCTTTCCTTTCCTTTTTCCTTTTTCCTTTCCCTTTCCTTCCCTTCCACTCCCTTCTCTTCCCTTCCTTTCCCCCTTCCCTCTCCTCTCTTTTTTTCCACCCTCCTCTGTTTCCCTCTCTTCCTTCCCTTCTGCCCTGTCTTCCTCTCCTTCCCTTCTTTTTTCCTCTCCTTTCTTCCTTTGGTCTTCTCTCTTCTTCCCATCACCTCTCTCTTCCTCTCCTTCCCTTATCTTCTATCTTTCCCTCTCCCTCTTTCTTCCCCCTCTTTCCTTTCCTCCCTTCTCTCTCCATCCCTTTCTTTCTCCTCCTGTTCTCCCCTTCCTTCTTTTTTTCCTTAGATTTTAAAAAAATAAAGTATAAGAAAGAGACTGATTTCTCAGGAGTCACAAAATACCCCACTCCCCATGGACATATAGAATTCTAGAACTTGGCATGTTTGTTTTTTTTTTTTTCTGTCACAACTATGGAAACCAGAGTCTAGGAATATTTGTATTTGAGCAGAGTTGTGTGATTTTCTCACTGTTTTGACTCATTTCAAATCTCACTTTTAGTTTCCCCACTGTATTTATTGTGCTTTTTTTCATAAACAATCACAAAATCTTTTGAGAACAAGGAAAAATATACTTAGGTTAATAAAATGATAATTAGTATTTATCTTAGGAGTTTACTTTTAGCCAGCTGTGTTGGTATTATGAAAATAAAATCCTCTCTCTTTCCACTCTTCTTGGCTTTTTACACGGTCTCATAATATCTCTAGAGATGGCCCTGTGACCCACCCCTGGGATGGGCTGTCTTATTTTTTTTCCTCTTTTCTTCTAATAACATGGTTGTTACCCTTGTCTCATGAATTTGACATTATTTTCACAGTGTCTATCTTCCAACTCATGAGATCATTAAGCCTCATAGCATGTTCTGTGTTTTTGGAACACAGAAGGCACTAACAAATGGTGAGATAGCAGTCTTATTTTAGTGGAAGCCTGTGTGTACATTTGTTAATTCAGTAGGCTATGCCATTGGCAATGAATTGTTAACTTGCAATAGCATTAGTTTCATTTTACACCCTAACAGATGTAACTAGTTGACATTTCTGGGAGAAAAAGGTCAAGTTATGTGAGCTTATTGATCTCAACTCTGACAATTTTTATATGTACCAACAGTAACAAAACAGTAGGCTTTCACTGGTTTATAATATACTCTCATTGGCCTAAAATGCTCTATAATAATCAAAACTTAAATTCAACTTTTCCCTTTTTGGTCTTTTAGTTTTATGAGCTGAATTACTTTGGGTTACTTTTTGGCCTATTTTTTTGGGAAGCTAAATAGTCCTAAAAGGTATGGGATGTCTGTCTGAACCACATATCTTTTGTACTTTGAAGTATTTGTATCTCATCGTGCTGACTTCTCTTTGAGGAGAGGTGACTTCTGCTCACATACAAGAAGTGGGACAAAGCTGAGCTCAGTGGCACACACCTGTAATCCCAGCACTGAGGGAGGCAGAAGCAAGCAGATCTCTGTGAGTTCGAGGCCAGCCTGGTCTACAAAATGAATCCAGGACAGCCAAGGCTACACAGAGAAACCCTGTCTCAAAAACCAACCAACCAAACAACCAACCAGAGAATGTCAACAAGAAGTTGTTGCACCCTAGGTGAAAATATGGCCATCACTCAGGAACAAATGATTAGAAAATATGATAAAAAAACAAATCTTTCGAGACAGGGTCTCATACAGTCAAGTCTGGCCTTAAACTCTTTGTGATCCTGCTCCCTCTATGTCCTGAGGATTTGGGTTCTATGCATCACCATCATTCTTAGCCCTATAAATCTTTTGATACTGCTTCTGAATCAAGCTTTCAGCTTTGGAGTAGAAAAATCTGACTCTATAATCCTTCAGGTACATTTATCTTTATTTTATGCACATTGGTGTTTTGACTGCATGTATGTCTGTGTGAGGGTGACGGATCTCCTTCAACAGGGGTCACAGACAGCCGTGAGCTGCCATGTGGGTGTTGGAATTGAACCTGGGTCCTCTGGAAGAGCAGCCAGTGCTCTTCTCCATCTCTCCAGACTCTCCTTCACATACTTTTATAGTCATTGCCTCTTGCAGACATAATGGTCCTCCCTGGCCATTGTTTTAAGAAGAGTTAGTAGGTAGTACTCACAGGCATTTCTTCTGAGCTCATGAAGCTAACTCTGGCAGGAGCATTCTGTTCAAAAGGAAACAGAGTGTCACTGTATGAGCCAGCAGCATTCTGTGACTTTCTTATCAACTCAAGACATAGTCAAAAGCTATTTAGTATTTCCTTAAGACTTGGCAGTGCTGTGTCCAGAGGCACAGCAGAGACCTGACTCATTACTGAGTGAACAGAGCCAGTTTGACAGATTTAAAATTAACTTTCTCTTTAATGCTATTGTGTGTGTGTATGTCTAGAATATGCAGGTAGAGAAGCTTGCCATCTTACTATTTAAATCATGAATGTAGGTGTTTAGGGAATATTTATTTGAAATATCTTGTGTTAGGTATCAGTTCTGTGACTTCAGCTCTCAAGATGATGCTGATATCTAACTGGTACGTTTTACAGAATATAGACTTACCAGCTGGTTTGCTCCATAAGACATGTAAAACATTCCTGGGTAAAACTGAGCAGAACAAAATAGTTATAAAAAAAGTGAATCTTCCCAAGATAAGCCATTTACGTAAGTCTCAAACACAGAGTGGGAGGTGGAAGCAGATACTTACAGCCGAGGCTTTGCTGTGTGTCACTGGCCCCCGAGAGATGGAGCGGGCTATCTGGAACATCTTTAAGAGGCAGAAAGCAGAAGAGTCAACCGGCACAGGCAGGGCTCCACTGCCATCACGTTTAAGAGCCCCAGAGACATTTTTTAATTGATTAGTGTGAAAAATTAATGCTTAATATTTAAGAAAAAGGAAATCAGAAACACTCTACAACCACAGGTAAGTAAGAAAATAAAAAAAGTCATTCAAACTCTTTGAAATATAGAGGTACTTGTTCTCTAAGAAAGTACCTTATTGAGATTTATACGTACTGTTGGGAATTGCGGATCAGCGAAATCCATTATTGGGACCTGTATCATAAGAAAATATTGAAACTATCAGTCAGAGCAGGCAAACCGAGTACTCACTTGTCTTGCTTATTACAATAAAGCAGTTAATATATATATATATATATATATATATATATATATATATATATATATATTTGAGACAGGGTTTCTCTGTGTACGCTTGGCTTTCCTGGAATTTACTCTCTAGACCAGGATAACTTTCTTTTTTAATATTTTCTTCTTTAAATTAATTAATTAATTACAATTTATTCACATTGTATCCCTCTAGCCCCCTCCCTCTTCTCCTCCTAGTCCTACCCACCCTCCGTCTTCTCCCCCTATGCTCTTTCCCTAGTACCCCTCCAACAGAGCCAAAATACCTGGGCCCAGGGGAGCCTGCAGAGACTGATACTCCAACCAAGGACCATATATGGAGAGGACCTAGACCCCTTGCTCAGAGGGAGCCCATAAGCTGCTCAGTTTCCAAGTGGGCTCCCTAATAAGGGGATCAGGGGCTATCTCTGACAGGAACTCAGTGGCTGGCTCTTTGATCACCTCCCCCTGGGGGATACAGCCTTGCCAGGCCATAGAGGAAGATAATGCAGCCATTCCTGATGAGACCTGATAGGCTAGGGTCAGAGGGAAGGGGGAGGAGGACCTCCCCAATCAGGCTAACTTTCAACTCAAAGATCCTCTTGCCTTTGCCACTGTAGTACTGGGAGTAAAGGTGTGTTTCCAGCCCAGCATCTTCTTAGGCTTAAAAAGGCTCATAATGTTCATCTTTACAGGATTTCAGTCAGGATGATATAAGGGTTATGAATGCCTGCTACATAGTAGTGATAGTTACACAGCACCTTCCCTTTTCTATCCATTGTTCTTTACAACACTACATAGCTGTATTTTATCTGCAGAGAGATAATAATGTAATATCCTACTTGCTATGCAGAGGACACAGTCTATATTATTACCAACTATACTATAATACTATACTATAGTATTATAGTATAGTATAATACTATACTATACTATCTACACTATACTATACTATGCTGTGCTATGCTATGCTATGCTATGCTATGCTATGCTATGCTATGCTATGCTATGCTATGCTATGCTATGCTATACTATTACCAACACTGAAAAACCCAAAGTAGTGAACCTCGACTTCTCTGAGCTATTTTCTATTCCCAAGGGAAGGTTCCATCAAGCCAAGTTGAGAGATACAGATCTTTTGGAATCTACTGTCTCTGATGGCAAAAAAAATAGAAATGGATACTTATGTTTCATGAAAGAATATTAATAAAGCATTCATGTTTTAGTATATTAGGCCCGAGAGAAGGGATTATTTAAACATATCCTGCCAGTTGTTTTTTCTTTCATTGTGTTAGTGGGTGATCCTGATCTGACTTCAAAGAATTACCTCAGGTGGACCTCAAAGAATTGCCTCAGGTGGACCTCAGAAAATTACCTCAGCTGTTGGTGGGTTCTCTGATGGCACCACCTGCGGCTCATCTGCTGCTGTCAGTTCTCCTTCCTGCAAGGGCAGCTGTCCAGGGTGCATTGGAGGCTGTGGCCCTGGCTTCTGGGGTGTGCCCTGGACACCGGTTGGAGCAGTGGGCTGGAGGAAGGGTTTCATTCCTGGCTGGTGAGGCTGCAGGGATGGCTGTGATGGGAGAGGTGGGGGGTGCACAGGCAAAGAATATTCATACTGTAGAGAAATTTGAAAAGAACGTCAGGAAGAGACGGTTCATTGAACCATGGTGCCTAGAATTTCTACAGCAAAGTGCTTGGATGCTTGCTGTTTGGAAGGAAGCGTTCTTGAAGTAGAATTTGCACAGGAGGTAGAGGCAATGTACTCAAGAAAGTTTCAAATGCACTTACCCCTCTGCCTTTGTTGGGGTGTGGAAAGCTACGTACCTGAGCTTTTTGATGGAGTAACTCATTCCCTCCTCTGGGTAACCACCACTACCTTTGTGTGGCTTTATTCACCACTTCCTTTCTGGACTATATGAATTTGTCAAAAAACTTTTCCCTAAGTCAACTGGCAGAGAACAGTATCTTATATATCTTTATACCCCTCCTATTTAACATATTAGTATTGCTACTAATAAGTGCCCAGTGTGTAATTTTGTAGTTAAAATGCTTAAATGCTTTCATCAGAGATCTGCTTTGGAAGCAATCAAGTGAAGCAGTGGTCACTAAGAGCAAATTTTATATGATCAGTGTGGCCTGATCATATAAAATAGATATGTAGATAATGCTGTTTTGGAAGTCCACGTAGAATTAAAAGCAACCGTTAAACCACCATGTGGTTTTCTGTTTGCTATTTTAGAAACTACTTCAGATTGGCTGCATATTGCTTGTAGGTTACTAGCATATTCCTGGACCAGGTATGGAAGTCTCATATGGAATTCTCATACTGACTTGACTCTGTTTTTTGTCTTCAGCCATTGCCCTTGTATCAAATCCTAGAGCATCCATTACTTCTGCCTTGCCATCAACACCTTGAAATATGTCCCATCAGATTTGATGTCTCACGAGCCTTTTGAAGTCTCCTTGAGCCATTCTAAAATGTTCTGATTTTTACTCCCAAACCACAGTTTGGATAGCATTCTTATTAGGACTCTAATAAATAACAGTTGACCGCTTGATGTATTTATTGGTTTCTACTTGGTTCACAGTGTTTTCAATCAGGATGATTATTGTCATTTGAAATTAGTCTTTAGGTAATTACTTAGGAAATTTTGATTAAAATGAAAATCACGCAGTACATGGTTTGTCTTTAGAGGTTGTTTATTGTTATTGCTGACATCCTTACTGTAGATCTCTTATTTCAGAGGCTATTTGAAATAAATATTCAAATTTACTTTAAAATTAAAAAAAAATCCTTAAGTAACACCAGTTATAGATAGGAGTTGATTTATTTGGTATTAGGGAAATTTTTTTTTTTGTTAATAACTAATTTGTATTTGCTGCCAGTAGGTATCAATTTCAGGAAGAAAAGTAGGAAAAGATCTTAAAGCTTGAAGTTTGAACACACGGCTGTAATGAGCTTACCTGTTGGGTTTCATGTTCCGATGGTCTTATCCACGGGAAAGAACTATGTGGCGGGAGGAGTCCGTGCAACCATAAGGTATTAAGTGCTTTTCCGAAGCCAAGTCTCGAATACTGGGAGAAAGAATACAGGGAGAAAGAAAGCACACGTGAGTTTTAGTGTTCTGAGACAGGAACAGAAAGCAAAAGTGACGCTGGTTTATGTAAACCAGGTAAGTCACCCCTCCCTTCCGACAAAACTGATTTATGTTCTGGGTCATTTCACACCCTACCATAAGCTTGTTTGAGATTTAGTGTTTTGGCAATTTGTGTTTGGGGCCACTTAGCAAAATCATTAGTGTAAGAAAGGATTTTGTCTTACTTGAGATTCAGCATGTATATTGAAGGTTTATTTTGTTGGTGTCTTGTGACAGGGTTATACTATACCATGTCCCTAGATTGGGACCTTTCTGCTTCAGTCTTCTAAGTACAGGAAATACAGTTTTAATTTTTCTCTGATACCGCACATCGTTATTACTATAATTTGTTTTTTTTTGAGACTGACAATGTAGCTCAGGTTGGCTCTGAACTTACAGCATTCTTCCTGCCCCAGTCTCCCAGTGACTGGGGTTACAGGAGTGGGAGCCCTGTGCTTGGGCTAGCACACTTTATTTTGTTTCAGGCTTTCTTAACCACTCATTTCGTCTCTCAATATTTAGGTATTACCTATTAATAAATAGATGTTGTAACATCATGGTACTACTGCTGTCAAAGCCACCAACCATGAATGCTTGAAATAAATTTTTGAAAATAAAAGTTTTCATGAAGATCTCATTCATCTTTTATGGTTACCTGAGAAAGTGCGTTGAGTCCCTGCAGGCTTCCCAACTGTCTCATTGTCTATGATTTAAAAAAAGTGGATTAGTGTTCTAACATATGTTAGATGACCATCTGACACAACTGATATCTCATGCTATTTAACAGCATCGATACAAATCTTGAGTAAAGCTAAAATAGACACAAATTATAGAATTATATTATCACTGAAGGAAAGAAATGTAAAGTGTAGCTTTGCCATTGACATGGCCAGTCTGAAAGCTCTGAGCTTCCTTCTTGCCATTAATGAGCAGGAAAAATACTAGTTAATCGGTATCACATTGAGACTTAGGAAAACATCTCATTCAAATACAATGGCAGAGACAGTTGTGAGAATATTGCCTTATCAAGCTCCTTCCTTTTCCCTCATTTAAATCATTTTACTTTATTTATTTTACAAATTTAGCTTGAAGAAGAATTTGGAAAAAATAGACAATACAAATAAACCCTCACTTCCTTTTCCCGGGGGGAAAAAAAAAGACCTCAAAATGATAGCTATTAAACACTGTAGGAAGTGGTATCTAGGTAGATCGCCAAGAACTCCACTGTTTCTAGAGAAAGTACATTTCCATTTCCACCCCCACTGTTTTTTTTTGTGAGATGGATCATGATCCTCCCCACCTCCATCTCTCTGGATGTTGGCATTACAAGGTGAATTCTACCATACCTGGCCTGTATTTGCTTTTTAAATGGGAGAAGACTAACGTTGCTTGCGTTGAATTTGAGCTAAAGGCTCAGAGGAAAAGAGCTCAGTGAAGTTAGCTTCCATGTGAAATGCCATGGGCCCATACGTGCACTGACGTGTTCTCAGATGAAATCTCGCAGGACCGTGTGAGAACTTGGGACAGTTATCTGTGGTTCTGTTCGCTTCTTCTTTGTAAAATCTTCCTATTTTACTGTGGTTTTCTAAATTTACACTTCCAAATTTATTTATGGGATCTTTATAGGAACAATTATAGAATAATGTTAATTATAAAATAATGTTAATAGTGGGACTTTTTTAAACGGCAAGACTTCATACGAGTATATTTGTTTCATGAGAACTTTACCACCTAAGATATAAGTGGCAGAGCTGAATGTAAGTTGTTTCCGACTATAGAATAATGTGTTTCAATAGGTACAATAGTTAATTAATGTACATATACTATAGTAAGGATTAATTGTTAATGTAGCTTTGATTCACATACAAATGACCTAAAACTTAAAATATCTCAGAGTTTAAAACTAAAGTAGACTCATGAGATAAAGTTGTAGTGAATGTCATTAGCATTTAAACAGTTTCTCAGAATGATAGTTTAAGTTTTCTGGACCAGGCAGGGTAAGAAACAATACATCAGATCTACGTGCAATCAGGATATTCCAGTATAGAAATTATATGTATATTTATATATATGAATTTATAAATATAACTTTATAACACACACACATAATGGCTCTGATGATACATACCTCAAGGCTCAAACTAGCCATACCAGGAGGTGCCATGCCTTGGGCCCCAGGTTGTTGAGGAAATGCCTAAGTAGAAACATGAACAATCTTTAGTTCTCTGCTGTGAATCTTCTCTAAATGTATATTTGGAGTAGGAGGTCAGTGCAGAACAGTACGTCCAGCAGAGAGGCTACCATATTGGTTAACCAGTCAAATGACTTGGGTTTTCAGCTAGAATGAAGAATTAAAGTTTTCTGGAGGAATTGTTATACTTAGTAATTTTGCTCCCACATCAATTTTTTTGTGTCCATTATAATACTATGTTGCTGTAAGAGGGAATGCATTTACAATGAGAAATAAAACAAGAGAACAAAACACAAGAGTACTTTACAGTCTTTCATATGATCACATGTAAAAAGCAAAGGAGACAATTATGAGCTGAATTTTTTTTGTGCATTTTATAACTGTCTGTGCTTTTGGTTTACAGGCTATTGTATGAGGTTATACATTGAGAAGTCATGTGCAGAACCCATCCTGCCTCCCATTCAGAAGGCTTTAGCCAGCCCTCTGTGCCATTATTTAAGGATTATTTTGGTCATAAGTTCATAGATCCGTGTTTAATGTTTTAGATCATGGGATGGACAGATGGCTTAGCAGTTAAGAGCACCTGTTTTTCTTCCAGTGGACCAGGGTTTGGTTCTCGGCATCCATGGCAGGTGGCCCACAACCATCTGTAATGCCAGCTCCAGGCATTTTATGCCTCTGATTTCCTTGGGTGCCTGCACTCATGTGCACACACAAACAGGCACACACATATATGTATAAGTAAAAATAATAAAAATATATATTAAATTTTTTAGACCATGCAATGGATAGTTTTCCTCAAAGTATTCTAGTGCTAAGTACTGTGATATTGTCAAGCATAAGTATATTTACAAATAGCATTTTGAAAATATAAAGTACTTTTATTTCTAAACATTTTTTTAATTTTTCATATGTTAATAAAGCATAAATACCAGTGTCTGAGGGTGGGTGGAAACTGGAGACTGGAGAGTAGAATTTAGGGAAATTAGACTCTTAAGTTTAAAATAAAAAAAATATTTATTTTAGACAAGGTTTTTGGTAAGTAGCTCAGACTGGCTTTGAACTTGTTAGGTAGCCAAGGCTAGCTTATAATTCACAAGGCTTCCAGCTTCCCAAGTGCGGGATCAGTTCTGAGCTATCTTGCCTACCAGAAAATTGGGTTTGAGAACCCTTGATTTCATGAACATTCTCATATACCTAGTGCTGAGATTGTAACTCTTTTCTTCTTTTATTTACACTACAGGGTCTTGGTCTGCGTGAGTTGACGTGAGACGTAAAAGTTGTCTTTGAAATATTCTAAAATATTGTCTGGAGTAGAACAATTATGTTTGCCTCGCTGCTGTTAGACAACTGACAACTGGCCACTGCAACTTTTGATGCACCAGGAGCTACACACTGGATTAAATCAAGCCTGAACCCCTCAGACAGAGTCTTCCCCAGGGTTGCTTTTGTCAGACGCAGGAGCCTGGTACCCGGTCGGACAGACTTACCGGCACGGCGAGGCTCATTTTCACTAGGGACAGGAACAGGATCAAGCCCTTCATTTTGAAAAGTGGAATCTAAAACACAGTTGGATCGGAATATTAACATCAGGCGGAATTGCATTAATAATGGTCAAAGTACATTTCCAAGGCCGAGTGTCTGTTCTTCTAAGACAATCAGGTTTAAGTAAAAACCCCAAAACCTAATAAAAGCAAAATATTGCTAACCAACTGGTTTCCAGGATAAAATGATGAATAGTTAAAAATACACATCTGAGCACTTATTTTTATGAAGCTGCAATCTGAATGAACATTTCAGAACAAGCTCCAGGAATATTCTTTAAATTGCTGTGCTTTGCTTCATAAAATAATCTAGCAACCTCCATTCACAGAATTTTATTCTTTCTTTAAATTCAGATAAAATCTGAAAAACGTCTGAAATACAACCTATGATTGTATCATAATCATGTCAAAACATTCAGCTGAATATATTTATCTGCTTTAATATTAATGATTTTCCTTCCTAACAATGAATACTCTTAAGATGTATTTTGTAAGGTCAAAAGGCCCTCCAACTCTAGCGTGAATGCAGCATTGATCAGAGATGTGCTATTCTATTATAAATTAGGCACTGTCACTAATAGTCACAAACCTGTTTTTAAACAGTTGTACAATAAGTTTATTTTCTTAGCTGAGTGGTATTGTTACGTTTTCTGGAACATTCTAATGGTTGAAATAAGCTATTATTCAGCACCTTGTGATAAAGGAAGATAGCTTTTCTTTGTAAAGGTTATCTGGAGATAGGAAAAGAGAATTTACAGCAAACACATGGAAATGATAAAAATCACATTTTACCTTAGATGCTGACATTCACTTGTGCTCCCAGGACTGATGATGCCAATCAAAACAGTTCTAAGAGAAGAAAATTATTTTTTTTTCTGGACTGTGCCTGGGGCTCTCTCTGTGTCTCTCATTCTGGAAAGATCAGAAACCCTTATTTAAAGCGCCAATCCACCAATCAAAGTGAAGCAAATGTGTGTGGGGGGGGAAAGCCCCATGCTCCTGCTAATTAGTCCACACCCTTGTACTGCATGTGAGGACATTGGGCCTGTAGGGTCTCATTATTTTAAATTGTAACTCAGCCCCTGTATTTATTCAGAGAACTGATTGCAGGGAAGACAGTAAAGGGATAATGGACATAGGCTTTGAAGACAATCATTTTGGTGAGCTTCGGGAAATATATGTAAAATAGGTAGAAAACAAGTCATTATCTGTTTTGTCTGAGGGTTTATCTGTAGATAAAGCTGGTGACCCTAAGAATGCCAGCATTCTTAAAATTTTGACCCTCATGTTTATTGTGGTAAAAGTAATCTTCATTCTCACCTCACCCCACCAACTTGCATACCCTAGGATGAAACACTAAATTACCTTCTAGGGTTTGAAAGGGAAGATGAAAATGTTGACCAGATGCTGAAAATTTTGTTTTGTTTTGTTTTTTTCTCTCTTTCAGAATTTCCTAGGTGTTTTCATCTCAGGATAATTGACTAGAGATGACCATTAAACCAAAATAGGAAGAAATTTAAGTTGGCTCCTCTGCAAGAATTACAGAAAAACTTTGGGACATGTTCTCTGTGGGGAAAGAAAAAAAAATTAGAATATTCTACTGGAACCAAACAAATCTAAGATCACAACTCAACCTCTCCTCTTTAGACAGTCAGTTACCAGGCATCATTATCAAACCAGATTAATAAGGTATCTTCGGGTCACTTAAAAAGTCAACGTCAACATAGATAGGTTTCCCTCCATGAGCAGATAAGAATGATATGACAGAATATAGACAGATGTAGACAGAACACCAGCTGCTTAACATTGTTTTTCTGCTCTCCTAAGGTGTGATTTTATACGTGGGATAACCATTTAAGACTACTTTATGAAGAAGGGATGACTCAGTATATATGCTTTAGGAGAGTAGAGATTGCTCCAATTACAGGGAACATCGAGGAAGCTGGTATTTTGGGAGAAAGATGTCTTCACACCCAACTGCAGACCTAATAGCTTCAAATAATGTTATTTAAGAAGCTCAATGCTGCTCCCCAAAGACATAGACTGTTAGGTGAAAACCTTAGTGCATCGCATGGAATACCACCCTACAAGATACTCTACAGAGCTGCAAACTAGCCCTACTCTTTGGTTGCTCAGCATAAATAGATAGTAGGATCCCATCGCTGAAGACACCACTACAGGTTTTGACTGTAGGACATAGAGAGGTTAGTCTCAAGCCAATCAGGAATCTACTTCTCTTACGTCCAGCTTTCATAGTGCTAAAAGGTGGCATTCAGACCTCTGAATGAAAAAACAAACAAAAACAAAAAACCACTAATGATCTTATCCAGTCCTGGACCCCCAAGTGCTTGCCAGGCAAGATGTGCTCATTGGAGTATTAGTGGCATAACTTTGATCGGACAACTGACACTTTGTGATTGGATTTGATGCCTTGACCATAGGAGACAATTCATGCCTATGTCTGTAAACCTAGTCAAAAGCCCCCGGCTTTGGATGTCACAGGCCCTAGAAGGGAGCTTACTATTGTTATTTTGCTAAATTGTCCTGCTGTCAAACTGCATTTGAAATATTTGTGTTTATACCTGTAGATATGGGGTATTTCAACCTTTGACAGGGGTTTTTCCTCTGTAGTAGTTAATCCAGATTCTTATACTGGTCAAAGTGATGAAAATAAGCAACTGTGAGTGCTCAGCCCTAGATGGGGCATTGATATCCGTCCCTGTGCCCTGCCAAGGCCCAGGGAGTATCATGGAACAAGGGGTAGAAAGAATGTAAGAGCGGGGGATGTCGAGAAGTGCTGTGAAAGACTGCCTTCTGGACATGACGTGGCCATTGCCAAACAGAGCAATGCATAGGCTAGATGGAATAAGTCCACTGAGAGAGGACTTTGAGCCAGAACAGCTGGGTTGAACCAACCAGCCAAGAGCTCAGTAAGAAAAAGAAAGGGTGAGCTTATTCAGCAGTAAGTCTCAGAGGCTGAAAACATTCTAGGCCTAGGTTGGATAGTACAGAGGCTAGAAGCATCCAGGACTAAGCCTAGGTTAGCAGAAAGAGTCAATAAGCCACCAAGAAAACAGTTACCTGAGGAGAATAAAAGTTCCTTTTATAATACATGTATGAATTTTTCAAAAGAATAAATAAAAAGGAAGCTGTAATTGAAAAATTTCTGCCAATGATAACAATTATCTTCATGACACAAATATGTATATAATATTGATGGATTCATAAATGGCAAAATTAAAGTATTATTTTTTTCTTGTCTCTCTCTTTCTCTCTTTTTGATTCAAAACAATTCTGCATCTGTCTCTCTGACTCTGTGATGCTGTTTCTCAGATTTACAGCTAGGTAGGATCTGTGCTCACTTCATAGCCCCTGGTCTTACTATCCTCCTCCTTAGAGCTCTCTCTTCTCCCCATCCCCAATGGTTTATTTCTACTTTCCAGACTTATATGGTTACACCAAACTCTACACATAAACTTAAAAATTTGTATCTAGGATCCAAAAATAAGGGAGAACATGAATCATTTGTTTTCCTTTCCTCTTGTCTTCTCTTTGTTTCTCTTCTCTCCTCCTCCTCTTCCTCTTCCTCCTCCTTTTTCTGAATTCTTTGTTTAGATCTATAACTCAATTTTTTTTTGGGTGAGCTGGACAGTTCATTTACTTGATTCTTTTTAAGAGTTTTGTACATTCTAGACAGTAATTTTCTATTGAGTATATAACTACCAAAGATTCTTTTCCACTCTGTGGGCTTTCTCTTCACCTGATTGTTTTCCTTGATGTACAGAAACATTTTAGTTTTATGTGGCTCTATTTGTCAATTATTGGCATTAATTATTGATCAAATAGAATCCCATTGAGAAAGTCCTTTCATGTGCCAGTCTTTTGTAGGGAACTTTCTATGTTCATTTGTAGTGATTTCAGACTATAAGATTTCTTGTTGAGATTTGTGGTTCATTCATGAAGGATGATACTGTGAATCTAGTTTCATTCTTCTACATGTGGGCATCTGGTTTTTCCAGCACCATTTTTTTGAAGTTTTTTTTTCCTCCCTGGGATGATTTTGGCTTTAGGTTTATCATATATAACCTATATTATGTTAAGGTATGATCCTTGCAGTCCTGTTTCTCTAGGACTCTTATCATTATCTTGTTGAATTTTATAAATGCATTTTTTTTTTGCATCTGTAAAGACGATCATGTGATTAACACAATTTATGTTGCTTATTACATTTACCAACTCATGTATGAGAAACGTTGCACCTCTGGGATAAGACAAATTTGTTTGTGTTGTGTGATATTTTGATATATATGCCTGCATTAAGTTTGCAATTATTTATTGAAAGATTTTGAATCTGCGTTCTGCAGAGACAGTGGCTCTTTGCTCTCTTACTTTGGTTCTGTCTTTACCTGCTACGATATGCAAGTGATATTGGTTTCATGACAGTTGGAACTGCTCCTTCCATTTTTACTTATTTTTTTTTTTTTGGAATAATTTGAGAAGCAGTGGTTGCAGATTTTCTTGGAAAACCTTGGCAATGCCTGCTGTGACTTCATCAGGGCTTCATCTGTTTTTTTTTTTTTTTTGTTGTTGTTTTTTGTTTTGGTTAGGAGACTTTTTGTTACTTTTAAAATCTTATTTGTTATGGATCTGTTTAAGTCATTTTTTTTCTTTGTGGTTTATTTTGCTTATTCAAATGTATCGAGATATTTATTCACTTATTTTAGGTTTTCTAGTTTAGTTTAATTGACTATAGTTCTTTAATTTTTGAATTATATTCACAAATTGTAATTATAATATAATTAAAAGATTTCTTCCTTCCCTTCCTTTCCCTTTCCTCCCTTTAAGCCCTCATTTATATCCTTCTCCACTCTCCTTCAAGTTCATGGCCTCTTCTTTTCCACTAATTGTTATTACATGCATATATGTATATGCACATATAAACATATTCCCAACTGTAGCCTGCTCACTTCACATAATGTTGTGGTTTTGTTGTGTATGTATGTGTGTGTGTGTATTTTCAGGTGGAGAATAGGTTTTTAACATATTCCTTTGAAACTTTCTGAATTTCTTTGCTTTTGTTTCCTTGTTCATCTCTAAATTGTATTAACTTGAGTTTACTTTTTATTTTTTAGTTAAATTCAGACAGGAGTAAGTCAATCTTGTTTATTTTATAATATTTTTATTAATTACAGTTTATTCACTTTGTATCCCACCTGTAGTTTCCTCTCTCTTCCCCTCCCAATGCCATCCTCCCTCCCTCTTCTCCAGCCATGCCCCTTCCCCAGTCCACTGTTAGGGGAGGTCCTCCTCCCCTTCCATCTGATCCTAGTCTATCAGGTCTCATCAGGAGTGGCTGCATTGTCTTCCTCTGTGGCCTGGATGGCTGCACCCCCTGAGGGGGAGGTGATCAAAGACTAGGCCAATCGGTTTATGTCAGAGACAATCTCTGTTCCCATTACTAGGGAACCCGCTTGGACACTGAGCTGCCATGGGTTACATATGTGCATGAGTTCTAGGTTATTTCCATGAATAGTCCTTGGTTGGAGTATCAGTCTCAGAAAAGACCTCTGTGCCCAGATATTTTGGTTCTGTTGCTGTCCTTGTGGAGCTCCTGTCTCCTCCAGGTATTTCTATCTCCCCCTTGTTTCATAAGATTCCCTGCACTCTGCCCAAAGTTTGGCTATGAGTCTCAGCATCTGCTTTGATACTCTGCAGGGTATAGTCTTTCAGAGGTGCTTTGTAGTAGGTTTCTGTCCTGTTCCCTGTTTTTTTCCTCTTCTGATGTCCATCCTCTTTGACTTTCTGAG